CCGTATGAACTGTTCATTTGTGCAATCAATATGCTGTCTCTTATACACATCTAGATGTGTATAAGAGACAGGTGTGTGTGTGTGTGTGTGTGTTTCGTTTTAATTACGGATGCGAGTTTCAGGTGTTGCTGAAGAGTTTTTTTTTACCTTTTTTCTCTGTTTAAGAGTTTTTTTCCCTTTTTTCTTTTTCTGTTTCCGAAGAGGTTGTGATGATGGAACCGTTAAGTTAGGTGTGGGTTTGTGAAAGCCACTGACTTTTATTTTTATTTTTAATTTTTATTTTGGTTTGTGAAAGCCTGGGACCTTTGTTTCACCGAATGCTCATCCATCCCTTCTCAAGGGACCGTTGTTGATTTGCGTCTTTTCATGAGAACGAGTAATATCTTGTCTTGTTGAGGCTTTTTTTGTTTTGTATATTTGTTTACGACGGTTGCAAGCTGTTTCCTTTTCAAGAAAAAAATAAATTATTGGTGTTCTTTGCCGCGTGTGGCGTCAATACTACTACAGGTAGTCATAAATATGACACCTCCGATTCTTTTTTTTAACCAACTCAGCTAGGCCGCTTGCTTAATGCTCGTAATTCTCGTGCTTGAGGCTCAACCAACTGTTTTTTTTTTTTTTTTTTTGGGTGCTTCAGGCTGAACAAATAAACGGAAAAGAGCCGCGCACGTTTTCCTCTGCCGGCCTCAATTTCAGTGCGCGGCACAGGAGAGCGATTCTGTTCTGCCTGTGCTGCTGCCGCGGCTCTCGCGCTCTTCTGCTGGAAGTTTTTTGCTCTTCGTCGAGGGTAGAAGAGAGTTAAAAGAGTTCAAGAGGTAAGAGGTCAGTGATGGCGGCGTCCACGTGTTTGGGCATGTTAGCAGCGGCGAGTACGTGCGGCGCTGTTGCGCATTTGCCCGCCTCTTCTTCCGCCCCCGCCTCGTCGTCAGATAGAGACTGCGCAGCATCTCCGTCGTCGTCGAGGAGTTGTTTGTTGACGTCATCGTTTCATGGTCACGCTCGGTTGGGATCCCAGCTTGGCACGTCAGGCCGATTGGTAGATAACCGTTTCCTATCGTCGACTTCATCATGGCGGCGACGAGAGGGGAAGACCGGGGTCGCGGTAGCGATGGCGCCGCCACCGGCGGCGAAAAAAGGCGGGAAGGCAAAGAAAGGTGAGTGTACAGAGACACCCCTGCCGGTGAAGCGTCTACTTGCAACAGCCCTCCAGGCGCAATCCCCCTCCTCAGCCCCGCGCAACCTTCCCTTCCCCTCTTCCCCCCCTTTTCCCCCTTCGCCCACCTTTCCCCCTCTTTCCCCCTCTTTCCCCCTCTTTCCTCCTCTTTCCCCCTTTCCCCCCCTCCCCCCCCGTTCCGGCCCCCCGCCGTCCCCCTTTCCTCCCCCTTTTCCCCTAGGCTACCAGCCGGGCCGTCCGGGTGACCTTGTTTGACCAGGCGGCCCGGCCGTTCAAGGGCCAAAGTAGGTCCCAGCCTCCCAGCAAAAAAAGAACAAAAAACAGAAAAAATCGAAAAACTCTGAAAAGAAACTATGTTATGCAGAAAAATAAACTGAACAACTTTTACCTCGGAATCACATTGAAATTCTTTACCAAAAAAAACAAACAAACATTTTTTTATTTTTTATTTTTTTTGGGCCTGGCCGGGCAAGTGGTCCCGAGCCACTCTGGTAGCCTAGCGTTTCCCCCTTTCCCACTTCCCCCCCCTTTTACCCCCTTTCCCCCCTTCCCCCCCTTTCCCCCTCTTCCCCCCCTCTTCCCCCTCTTTCCCCCCCCCGCCGTGGCCCTCTCTCCCCCCTTTCAGCCCCCTTCCCCMCCTTCCCCACCTTCCCCACCTTCCCCACATTTCCTCCCCCTCCCCCCCTCTACCCTTGCAACTCGTTTGCAAATAATCAAAAGAAAAAGAAAAGAAGGCCGCTATATCCTTTGGACTTCTTTTCTTTTTTTTTGAGAAGGGGGACGTAGCTTGCACTATTTCAGTTCGACATAGTTTCTACCTATTTTAGTTCGTACTTAGGGCATCGGCAGACTAAGACTTCGGACTTTCCCGCGTGCACCTGACGCAATTGCAGTCTCATTCGTTCGGAAAGGTCCTTGTGCGAGTACACGCCTTTTTATGCGCTTCGGCCCTCCTCAGCACGACCACCTGCATGGAGATGTGTGTTCGTTCTTTTTTTTTTTTCCCTTTGTTTTTTTGAATCATGTGCCGTTTCTTAATGCTGCCGCACGCGGCCGTTCAGCTGTCAACTGTTTTTTTTTTTTTAATTCAAACGGCTCACAAATTAGCAATAAATACATAATTCCATTTTGTAAAATTTCAAACGACCAATTTGCTGTAACCTCCAATTGCGGACTCAGAATTTCGCAGTCAAAAATTCTGAATTTGCTGACTCGGAATTTGCAACTGCGAATTAAAAGTTTGAAATACAGATTAATAATTTAATACTGTTTAGGATATAAAATTCTACAAAATTCAATTTTAAGAATTTGGGTTTGGAAAGCTCGCAAAATGGATTGACAATTTACTTTTAAATACTTTAATACCAAATTGCGTTGACAATTTCGAAAAAAAGAAAAAAAAATCGACAACGGAAAAAGAAAAAGGAATATGCGCAATTAAAAATTCGTCGTCGCGACGTCAAAAACCTGTCTCGAGTTCCGGAGGAGAGAAAATTCAAAATCTATGAGTGGAATTTATTTCTCATTTGAGACATTTTCGAACTCGGATACAGTTTTTTGAGAAGAAAATTAATTCTCAAAAAAATCTAAAAAAAAAGTTTCGGAGTGAATGAAAAAAAGGACTTTCAATGTAAAAACTTCTTGCAACTCCAAGCTCAGATTCACGTGATCATCTTTTTTATTGCCCCCCCCCCAATCTAAAGCCGGGGCCGTACATTGAATATATACTAAATTTGATTTTTAGCAAGTCAATGTCATACTACGTTTATTTAAAAATAAATAAATTGAGCCAGCATCATAATTTCGTTTGGGATTTGTTGAAGTTATATAAACCATTTGATTATGAACTGATCACTCTCAATTAAACCAGGTTTAAGTTTTTTTTTTTTTTTTTTTTTCTTTTTTTTATAAACCAGGTTTAAGTTTTAAACCACTTGGTCCGCAACTGAAGCAGGCTTTTGAAACCCGTCTAACTCTTTGCAGTACTATATTCTCTTTAGGCACCCTTTCCCCCCCCCTCTCTCCCCCTTTCTCTCTCCGGCTCTCTCCCTCCCCCCTCTTTCTCACTCTCCTCTTTCTCACTGTCCCCCTCTCTCACTCTCCCCCTCTCTCTGTGTCTTTCTCTTTCCCTTTCTCTTTGTCTCTGCGTCTCCATTCTCCCTCGCCCCTTCCGCTCCCCCCATTCCCGTCCCCCCCCCCCCCCCTCTCCCCCTCCCCTCCAGCCCTCTTCTCTCTCTCCCTTCCTTTCTTTTCCTCCTTCCATTTCATTCCCTCGTCCCTCAGTTTTGCAGTTTTCTGTTGCTTCATTCGCTAAGAGTACCTAGGAGGGAAGTCTGCACTCAAGGTTGGGGTTTGAATGTCTTTTATGGGCCTGAAGGTCAGTGGAACTTTACAAGCATGGATGAGTTATGGGCGGGGGCTGAATTCTTTTTATTCTTGTGTTGGTGTTTGTGGGCAGTTGTGGGGCTCGTGAAACTTGCTCTGGAGGCTGGAAAGGCAACACCTGCGCCCCCTGTGGGCCCTGCATTGGGTGCCAAGGGTGTGAACATTATGAATTTCTGCAAAGAGTATAATGCACAGACTGCGGACAAGCCCGGATTCATCATCCCTGTCGAAATTACAGTGTATGATGTAAGTGCTCTCTCTCTCTCTCTCTCTCTCTCTCTCTCTCTATCTATCTATCTATCTATGTATCTATCTATCTATCTATCTATCGTGGACACACACAAACATAGACACGCACGTCCCAGCCAAAACTTGCGGTCTGTAAAGCGCGAAGCTAAGCTGTTTGTCAGCTTACAAACAGCTTCGCTTCCCGAGCCCACAAACAAGGGGCTAAGGTTTTGGGGGCGAGCTGCACGACGGGAAACTGTCACGTGTGGTTTTGAGGGCAGGCGTTCTGCGCTGACCCCTATCCTACATCATGATATCTTTTTTTGCTTGATGGTGATTCTGATCTTCGTGTTATGGATGTTGGTTCGTGTTTTATGGCATTTTCACTATAAGAAAAAAACACAATTATTCTCCCACTGCCTCTCTCTCTCTCTGTGTTTCTCTGTCACCGTATGAACTGTTCATTTGTGCAATCAATATGCAAATAAATGAGACGTTGTAGAACTCCACAACGAGACGCACACGACGTATTCAACGCCGTTGAAAATACTCGTACTGAAGGACATGACGTATTCAATACCGTTGAAGATACTCGTACTGCAGAACTCGCTGCGAAGATTAAAGCTTGTCGTGAAAGTGGATCACTGTGGGAGTAACCAGCTCTTGTCCGTCCGTCTGTCTGTCTGTCTGTCTGTCTGTCTGTCTACGGTTTACCCTTTCTACTGTTGAGGGTTCAGCCTCCTGATGAGTCGGTGAAACTCCAACGAAACAGTTTATCACAGCCCCTCGTTTGCTGTCCTCTTCTCCCTCCCTCTCTGCCTACGGTTTACCGTAGGCAGTTCTGGTTGATGATATATTATATGTATTTATGTATAGAGTTCAGCCTTCTGATGAGTCGGGGAAACTCCGACGAAACAGTTTGTGACAGCCCCTCGTTTGTTGTCCTCTTCTCCCTTTGTCCCTCTCTGCCTACGGTTTACCATACGCAGCTCTCTTTGACGATCTATATCGTGTTAAATACTTGAGTGAAGTTGGGTTATTAGGCCGTACTCACACTACCACTATCTTAAATGTACCTGACTGCATTTACAGCCCCGACCAGGATGCATCTGGCCGCAGTTATGTTCCGCAATAAGGAAAAAAGTCCTAGTGTGAGTATGCCCTCAATCTGTTAGTCGATGCTGAGAAGGGAAACCATCATCAAGGCTGGAATAGGAGAGAAACACGAGTTGTCTTCTGGCCCTTCAATTAAATTTTGTGCTATTAATTTACACAAGTAATTTTCTTGTCAAGTAGTTCACGGGATGAATTATGCGACTGAATTGTGTCACACAGTGATTATCATCACCCATGTTTTTTTGCCCCTGTTTTTTTGCACCCGGATAGATAAATTATGCGACTGAATTTACACAAGTTAAGAGGACGAATGCTTTTTTGTTACTGATGGAATTATGCGAATGTCGTCGATGATCTTTATGGTCTGGTCCTTGGCCTCTACAACACCCTGGGCTTAAAAAAAAAAAGAAAAAAAAAAGAGAAAAGAAAAAAAGGATTAGGGTTAGGGTTACAATACCGTCATGTGAGCCAAAGGGTATTCCAGATGTTCTGTTAGCCGAAAAATGAAGGATGGATGAACGAACTTTTTGTTATTTCAATTTTCAGTTTTTCAACTTATTTGTTTTTTTTTTTTTAATGTGGGCCTCTGATAGTCGTTGATATTGGTTATTTGTTTTCCAGATTTCCAATATGGTCTGGATTGCTATCAGGATTTGTTTCAGGGTTTATGTGGGCCAACCTGTGGACGCAGAATGGTTGT